TAGGCATTGCATAATGTCATTGTAAAAGTTTAATGAAGCCCAGAGGTGAATAATTAATTTCTGTTAAGATTCTATTGATATAGGGGGTTTCCCACTTAACATAAGTTCAATGTAAGCATTATTCTCATTTGTCCCCAAAGAAATTACAGTACAGTTATTATATCAGAGGTAATGTTAAAGGCAAACAAACTGCGTCATAGAGTTCCGCTGAACTAAATTTGATCCTTAGTTTTTAAGCTTTCTTTTAATTAATTTTTAATCAACAGTCCCACTCTTTTCCTGAAATTGGTATTTTTTTATTTCCTTGTTAGATGAGAACTACAAATAATACTGCAACATTAATTTCGGTTTAAATTAAAATTTTGTTTTTCTTTTGCAACTAATTATTATCTTTAAAAACGATTTTAGCCTTAACTTAGCCCATGTGAATAATGGATCTCCTGAAATTGACAGGAAATTACTTAATCACAAGTTACATAACCAAATATAGTTTTAGAGAAAATAATTTTTGATAATTTGTAAGAAAAATCAAATGCAAATCAAAATTAAAGCCAAATTAATATAATTTCCAACATTTTGATCCTCTGATTATTTAAAGTAAAGCAATAAAATATGTATTTGTAAATAAATACCTAAGCTTCAATGTCCAGTGTAAATGTTTAATTCTTTATAAATTTGGGAAATATAAATTTTTATTTCTGTTACTGTCGAAAAAGTCTTGCGTAATGTATGTAAAGAAATACAACAATATTTCACGCAACAGTGTGCCGTAAAAAGCTTTAAGCATCAAAAAATAACTATAATTGCTTACTTCACTGACAATTTTAAAACCAAACAATTTTCTTTACTTTGTTGCCACTACTACAAGCTAAAAACTACTTTGGCTGTGAAAAAGAACGTAAATATTGAAAAATATCCTGGGCTAAAATATCCAACGTATTTAGTACAGAAAATTAGTAGTTCTTTATGTAAACACCGGACGACCATTTTTTGACAGAAAGTGCACCAATGAAGTTGTTGGAATATACTAACAATAAGTCCAAATTAGTAGAGAGTTACTCATAATCAACATGTACACTGTAAAAAGTGTAGGTACATATGCAGAAGGAAATTGGAATGAACTGGTATGACAAAATTGTATTAAATATGAAATATTTCTAAATCAGAGAAAGTTTGCAATGGATACATACCTATATGAAATTTACTACATGGAAGGAAATCTCAAAGAGAAATAGTAAATATTGCCTACACGGTATAGGAAATTTCAAAACGTGTTTTGCTTTGTGCTAAGTTCTGTGATAAATAACAAAAATAATAATAAATGTAAGTCATGGTAATTTTTCGGGGACCGCCTAGCCGGGTGTCTTGGCCGGCGTATTTCGATCTGCCGAGGCAAGCATCACGGACGCAGGCTGGAATTTGGATGGGTGACCTAAGGCAGACTCGGGGACGTGGCTGTGGCAGCCTACCAGAGACCTGGGTCGCCCAACATTTGCAGCATGCGTGTGGTCCCCGATAAATGATAATGAGAACAGAGTAAAGAAAATCTCTGTAACTGAGGACCATGCTATCATACATAAACTGTACGAGACTTTGCCACCAAGCCACCCGTGTAGTAAATAGGATGGTTTGAAGAAAAGTACTCGAGTAATGAAGAAGGGTGTACAAGGGGCCTAATAAGGCCTAAGTTCAGCGGTGGAAAAACAATTCCACCGCCCTCCGACGTACATACATACATATGGTACTTTTTATTCCATTACTGCCATTTCACATTTATCATTTGGCTGCTTTTATCATTTGTGTTTTGGTACAAAATAAGTAAAATATTTTACCTGCTTATTAAAATTTGTTTATATGGAATAAAAATTAAATTTGGATTATAAATACCTCAGGAAATTAAAATTATAGTCTAATTTATAATACCATCCTACAGGTAAAAAAGGATCCTTAGTTAAAATGTATTACCAAGTGATAGAAATTATTTAAATTTAATCGGATTACAATTAAGGGCTAATCTTTAATATAATCGTTCAGGTAAAAACGAATCTTATATAAACCAGGTCACCAAGTAGTAAAAATCATATCTAATCCAGTTTCCCAAGTGTTAACGTGTTTTGTCTATGTGTTTGTGTACTTCGTATCAAGCGGGTGACAAAACGTAAAAGAAATGTGGAAATCGATCACATTTGTAACGGGCAATCCCAAAAAATTAGAAGAAGTCGTACAAATCTTAGGCGCAGACTTCCCAAAACTTATCAGTAAAGAACTGGATCTACCTGAATTACAAGGTGAAATAGGCGAAATATCGATATCAAAATAGACAAGGCGAAAACCTCGCATTCGTGGCAGAAATTTTCCGACTCGATTTTTTTGCATATTCAGATTCGTGAGATGTTCCTTAACATGAATCGAGATGATGCCGGCCGGAAATCAATCTGGTGCCCACTTGTTTAAACAAACTTTTTTTAAACAAATTGTAAAAATAGTTTTTTTCACTCCGGAAATTTTTTTTTGGTTTTTTGGAACATTATAAACAAAAAAGTTCCTATGCACTATGCCTCTAAAATTTATAGTTTTAAAGTTATAAATAATTTAAGTTTATAAAAATGCGAAAATTACTATTTTCAACGGCCGATTTCCGGGTTAAAAATTGTTATTTGATGTTGCCAGGTACCTAAATTAAAGTTTAAACATCCCCCTACAAGATGATGAAGAGTTTTTGGGACGCGCATTATTCTAAAGCCTTGTTTTTTAATTGTTAATAAAGCTAGAAAATTAATTTTCTCGTAGCGGAATGGGTATTAATTTAAGTAGAATGGGAAATTGGGGATATTTGAAAGAAAGAGTCTACCAGGACAGACCGGATAATATTGAGAATTTAAAGAACAAGATTAGGGCGGAGATGCATAATTTACCAGCTGAAGTCATTCAGAATGCTGTTGACAGCTTTTACTATCGTCTTGGAGAATGCCAAATAGTGAATGGGACATTTTCAGCATTTGCGACGTTGAGTTTATTTTTGTAAATTATCTAGTTGTTTCAATTTTTAAAGGAAAAAAAACTTGCTATTGAAAAAATAAAACTTGTTTATTTGGTATGGTTGGATTCAGTTTTCAACGAGCCCCCTCATGCCTTATGTTTCCATTTGAAAAAAAAAGTAGGGGTAGCTGGGGGTTAGGGGGCTGAAAGATGGGGAAAAATCAAAATCAGTTAACGTGTTTCGGCGTTTTAAAAAAAATTTACTCATTCAAAAGATATGAATTTTATTCCGTACTTCTGGCCATCCCTGTATGTACTGCAAATAAGAAGTCCAGCACTTCCGATGCATTGAAATTACACGTCTTAAGAACTTCTTTACAAACGTACATATGGAAAAGTTTTATTTTTCCTCAATATCAATATTTGGATTTCACAGTTTTTGTTTATCAAAATGAAACAGGTGAATTACATATTACCTAAATTTATTACCAAAGATGCATTACCCAAAGACTTAGTTAAACAATGTAAATGTACAAAAAACTGTAAGACTAAAGCTTGTTCTTGTATGAAAAACTATGTCACTTGTATACCTTTATGTGGTTGTAACATAGAACAGTGTGAGAATTCTTATGATTGAATAAATGTGTGATAATAATAATATGCAGTATTAAATAAATGTTCTTTAATAAAAATCAAATGTATTTGATACTATTGCCCTTTTATTTTTTTTCTGCACTCTATTCGTATAATTTTGAGTTAATTAAATAAAATTATTATGAATTATGAAATTTAAATAATCAATTTTTACATTATTTTATGAGTAGTAATAGTAAATTAGAATGCTAAATTAAAAGAACATAAGCTGAATCCGCTAGACGAAATAGCGAATCCGCGTATGAGAGAGGCGCGCGCGCGGCTGATAGCGCTTTATTAACAATTAAAAAACAAGGTCAATCAATCATCAACATAGCTTATCTCTCTAACTGTAAGCTATATTGTCTGTGTACTATAAACTGATATGTTTAAAAAAAAATTATACCTAAGGCTCAATCTGTAAAATACAATAAACTAAAGAAAACTAATATCCAGTAACCAAGAGATGGTACTGTTTATCACAATCAACCGCTCAATATTCTTGGAAAATCAAATTATTATTTTAAATATTGTGGATGTGATCTATATTACTATATTTCATTCCGTTTTGTTATTGTAGTTTAATTTTAAAATATTTATTTGAACATACTTAGACATGAATTACAGTATCCACTATCCAGTAAAGCAAAATGACCATTATTATCCAGTAACCAGTAGATGGTACTGTTCCTCTTTATCAACTAAAGTCTCTATACCTACATATAGATAACTTTATTATTAACATCAACATCAACTGATCAATAATTTTGGAAAAAATAAATCATAACCTTGACATTGTCGATGTGATTCTTATATTCTAAGATGTGATTTATATTTCAAATTAGCTACTTTCTAATTTCCTGGGAACTGCTCTTTTAGTGTTCTTCTAGTGTTCTGTGCTTTAAATACTCCAAACAAACAAATAAACACCTCTGAGAGGAATACATAAGCGTGTAAGTATTTTAAATTTAAAGTACCTACTTACTTTTATTATTTTTGTGAGCCAAAAGTCTGAGCCAAATGTAAATTTCACAGTAAATAATCTCTTTTATGAAATATATATTCACAACTTCTAGTTCCAAATTGCGTGGGGAACGTTTGAGTACCAAGTCTAGGCAAATTCGGTATTAACATTAACATCTAGACGCTCCAGATGTTTTTTGTTCTTTTCTAATTGTAAGAGATGAAAAGATAAAGAGCTACATCTAGAGCCTCTAGATGTCAATACCGAACTTGCCTAGAGTAAATTGTTTCAACATAAAACGCAAAAAGACAAATATGGAGTGTATATAAACTCCATAGTGTAAAATATAAGTGTAACAATTCTAATGTTTTTTTCTTTTGTGTTTCGTGCTTCCAACCACAGACTAGTCTTCCGTATGTATGTTTTGTGCTCCATTCTGTTTTGACAGTTGTGACCAGGGAGACTTGTGTAGTCTCCATGGTTGTGACAGTGACATTAATGACAATTCATATTTGTGAAGGTTAGGTTATTAATATTCTACATTTTTCTTCAGGAAAATTGAATTTATCCATTATTCGATTATTCCTTATTTCAAATCTGTCAAACAAGTACTTATATAAAATTATGTGTTTTTAGGTTATTTTAGAGATTCCAGGAAAAATCCTAGGGATGGCTACATTAATAAAGGATATAAAGTTGCAAGACAATATTCCAAATAATATTCTCTTCGAGAAGCATATTGAATTTATAAAGGAATACGGTCAAGATGAAAACAATTACGAATATGGTATGACAGACTACTTACGTATATCGGGCATGTATTGGGGTTTAACAGCATTAGAATTGATGAATACTTTGCCATCGCATACGTTAGAAAAGGTAAAGCTTAAACGCTAATAAAACCGCAACTTGAGCTTTAAATATTTTCACTTATTTCAGGTTACCGGATATATTAAACAGTGCCAAGATCCAGAAACTGGTGGCATAAGCGCCTGCATTGGGCACGATCCTCACTTACTTCACACATTAAGTGCAGTTCAAATCTTATGTATTTACAACAACTTGGATGCCATAGATACGAAGGGTGTTGTGAAATATGTTAAAAGTTTACAGTTACCCGACGGTAGTTTCCAAGGTGACAAATGGGGTGAAATAGACACTAGATTTTCATTTTGTGCTGTTGCAACCCTATCACTTCTTAAAAGAATGGATGCGATAGATGTTCATAAAGCCGTAGATTTTGTAGCTTCTTGTAAGAATTTCGATGGTGGATTTGGATCAAGGCCTCTTTCAGAGAGCCATGCGGGTTTAATATATTGCTGTGTGGGATTTCTATCTATTACCAACAGGTAACAAAATAATCAATGTAGACTTTTAGATTTACTGACTGAGGAAATTGTTTTTTAGATTAGACATAGTCGACCGAGATACACTTGCCTGGTGGTTATGTGAACGTCAGTTACCGTCTGGAGGGTTAAACGGAAGACCTGAAAAATTGCCCGATGTGTGTTACTCCTGGTGGGTACTTTCTTCTCTCACCATCCTGGGTAGACTGCATTGGATTGATGGAAACGCCCTGAAAACGTTTATTTTAGCATGCCAAGACACTGAAACTGGCGGCTTTGCAGATAGACCTGGGGATGTTGCAGATCCCTATCACACCTTATTCGGACTTGCCGCGTTGTCACTCTTAGGGCACGACACTGTGCAAAAAGTCAATCCTACGTATTGTATGCCACAGCACGTTATCGACAGGTTGCAACTTAAACCTCAAATTTTAACCAATTGAATATTGAGCTGCAGAACAAAGTCAGAATTACCCAAAGATGTACCTAACTCAAGCTGTAAACAATTTCGTAAGAATCATTCCTTATATCACTGTGTAATATCTCTGTAAATCTTTTTTTATATTATCTCGTTTAATATTGTAGTAAAATTTATTTAGTTATCGAGTTTTTCGCAAACGAGAGTAATTGAAACGTTTATATTGCACCTACATGAGTAGTATTATTTATGTTTCACTTTATTGTTATACTGTACTATGTGAAATTTATAAAAAATAAATATTCTTTTTAATAATATGCACCACTTTTTATTTAATATTATTGTAAAAAAATTCCTTTTTAAAGGTATATTTCGAACCGTGCAGAAATTCTTCTTGTGCTTGTAGACAGACTGCGTTCTACCAGTTGAAGAATATTGTCTTCCTTCATAAATTCTCACTTGAAATCGCGACATTTCGTGTAGGGCGTCCATCTGAAAATCTATGGGGTATCCAGTAAATTCCCCAGACGGCAGGGACTCGGTGGACGGCAATGATTCCCAGCAACATCGCGGTTCAATCGCGTCTCCGTTCAGAGTAGTGCACACTGCGTCGTTCTCACTGCTGTCAAGCATGGTTTTTGTCAAAATCGGGTAAATAGTTCCAAATCGTGGTACAAATATCAATAATTGCTGATGCACAGTTCAATTACTACTTATTTGCCACTAATCTAGTCGCTATTAGTCTAGTATCAATTTCAAATTCGAGATTTAAAGTGTTATTTGGCTAAAAGTTCTGAGATCACTGTTACAAAGTCACTAATTTTCGCGTTTCTCACTCAATTCACACTACAGTTTAAGAATCACTAGATTTTTAAAAATTAAATTCGTTCAGCACAAAAAATTGACTAAGTTTCTAATGCTGCTTTGATTTTAGGCAGGAAAAATGCAGAATTTCATTTACCGGGCTAGCTTACGGCATTGAAATGTCTGCCTCGGCTAGCAGGACGTCGTTCACGAAGCTCCAGGTCCAGTTTCCTTTCGTAGACACTTTAGAACACTTTGTTTTATGAATTCTTTTCTAATAACAACATTATGTTTAGCAGTCTAGTTTTTAGTTATTTCACTCAGTTTTAGTTCATTTGTATTAGGTCTCTACTGTTTAAACTGTAACTAGCATTCATCTGTACGGGGTTACACTCATTGTTCAAATTTCTTAACTGATTAGTTCCTTCTTCTTTCAGGTTTGGATGATTGATAACAATCAGTTTCAAACACAAGGTAAGTACAAGTATATTGAACAGTTTTTTGGTAAGTATTTACACTTTAACACGTTACGTGGACAAAATATGCAGTTTTTTCGAAAATTGTCTGATTTCGCGTTGAAAATTTGACTTTGACAATGAAATCTCAGCTGTGGCAATAAACACCAGTACGGAATTAATTCCTGAATAAAAGGCAAGTATTTTTCGGTTTAGGGTGATAGGTTTAAGTGTTTTTAAGATATTTTGTTAATGAAAATTCATACGTGGACTTGTGGCTTCCGAGATTCTTCTGAGGGGCCTACGACAATATTTTCTACTTCATTCACATTTTGTTCAACTGCACGTTCAGAATGAAAACAACTAGGTACTTGGAACAAAGCCTGTATTTCGTAGTGTGTCGCATGTTCAAATCAAGTTAGAAAATCGTATTAGATACTTTCTACGAACAGTAGGTGCCCTTCCATTGCAAAACCCATAACAAAACACCATTTCGACAATTTATCTGTTTTGCACTCGACAAAATCGACATTAAAATTGCTGTATCCCAATGACCATTGAGATTTGAACACATATGCATACTTTTTTATTCAAAGTGAATATTATAACATACTGAACTATTGACTATTCCTCCTGAAACACCCGGTATATTTCATTATTTAACTCTTGTATTTTTACTTCGTTACTTTGAATAAAAGAAATCCTTGATATCTAATCTATAGGTATATGTAAAAGATATCTAGTCTCATGGGCAACACTGAAGGAAACACTTGAAAAATCCTCAAAGTGCAGAAATAGTAGAGATCTAATGGCTATATTTGTGTTGCCAAACATCATGAATTAGAATAAAAATTAAAAACACTGAAAATATCACATTATTCAATGATTTCAGTATCAGGTATGTATTTCAATGATATTTACATACAGGGTGGGCTATTAGTGTGAGAAAGTAAAACAACTTCCTTGTTAATATAGAAAAAAGTTTATGTAAAAGTTGTACAGAATCAAAAAACCTAAAGGAAAAAATTTATTTGAAATACACAGGGCAATGAGTAAAAATGGGACACCAAATATTACATTTTTTAAACGGAACACCCTGTATTTTATTGTTCTATTTTATTCACATATCAGTTCACTTCAACTTTTATTAAGTATGTTCTACACCTAAAGTTGTTAGTTTTTAAGATATATATGGCAATATAAACAGTTTAACATTTTAGTGCGGGGTTGCCAAGTTAGTAGAAAACTCTTCGAATTTTGGAAAAAACATGACCTCGAAGAAGTTGTATTAACTTTCAACTATTAACACTTGGAGCAAAAATATTTGACAGAGTTATAGACAAATGTTAAGCAAAGATGACTCATATATTAGCTAATATCGATATTTTATACAGGGTCTTTTTTATAATACAATCATTTTAAGAAAGTTCAAACTTGATTTTCTAAAATTTTTCAAATGGAACACCCTGTATTTTATTATTCTATTTTATTCACATATCAGTCCACTTCAACTTTTATTAAGCATGTACTACACCTAAAATTGTTAGTTTTTAAGATATAGCAGTATTTCTGGAAAACATTTTGAGTTAATTTTATTAATTAATATTTATTTGTGGTATTCTATGAAATAATAAAAATTAATAGTTTTTTCAGAAATGTTGCTATATCTTAAAAACTAACAATTTTGGATATAGGACATACTTAATAAAAGTTGAAGTGGACCGCCAATATGTGAATAAAATAGAACAATAAAATACAGGGTGTTCCATTTGAAAAATTTTAGAAAATCAAGTTTAAATTTTCTAAAAATGATCGTATTATAAAAAATGCCCTGTATAAAATATCGATATTAGCTAATATAGGAGTCTTTGACTAACATTTGCCTATAACTCTGTCAAATATTTTTGCTCCAAATGTTAGTAGTAGTTGAAAGTTAATACAACTTCATGTTTTTCCAAAATTCGAAGAATTTTCTACATTACTTGTTAACCCCTCACTAAAATGGTAAACTGTTATATTGCCGTATATAGAATTTTCTTTGAAATCCATGTTTAAAAATATACATTTTAAAAATGTAATATTTGACGTGTCCCGTTTTTACTCATCACCCTGTATATATCAAATTAATTTTGTAGATTAGATTTCTTGATTCTGTATAACTTTTATATAAACTTTTTTTCTGTATTACGAGTAACAAGGGAGTTATTTTACTTTCTCACACTAATGGTAATGGCCCACCCTGTATATCACTTAATTTTTATTTTATATAATTATAATTATTTGCTAGATAATCTTTAGTATTCATACTCATTCATTCTTTGGTTTCATTTGACAGGATTTTAGGAATCACTTTTTTATTTGTATTACCTTTAAAATTAAATGCTTATTATTTCAGTAACAGAATTAATATTGAAATGATTTTCAGGAGTGGGATAANCGACGGATGGGGCCCACCTACGAAGGCTGTCCAGGCCTACACGAGATGAGGCAGGATAAAGAGGGATAATCCCCCTCGATCCCAAATCATTGAGGCCAATTTCTAGCCATAGAATAATGGCGCGCGGCGCGGTATGTGTTTCAATGATATTTACATACAGGGTGGGCTATTAGTGTGAGAAAGTAAAACAACTTCCTTGTTAATATACAGAAAAGAAGTTTATATAAAAGTTGTACAGAATCAAAAAACCTAAAGGAAAAAATTTATTTGAAATACACAGGGCAATGAGTAAAAATGGGACACCAAACATTACGTTTTTTAAATGGAACACCCTGTATTTTATTGTTCTATTTTATTCACATATCAGTTCACTTCAACTTTTATTAAGTATGTTCTACACCTAAAGTTGTTAGTTTTTAAGATATATATGGCAATATAAACAGTAAAATTTTAGTGCGGGGTTGCCAAGTTAGTAGTTAGTAGTAGTTTCATTTGACAGGATTTTAGGAATCACATTTTTATTTGAATTACCTTTAAAATTAAATGCTTATTATTTCAGTAACAGAATTAATATTGAAATGATTTTCAGGAGTGGGATAATTTATATTTCTTTCTACAAATAAAATAACATAAGCACCTAAAATTTTTATTTTTGACACATAATTGCACCTTGGTCAAGCAGATATGGTCTCACGGGAATACCCTTACATTCGCTCTCCTAAGTGTTGTAAAAATTAAATTTATAAAAATTTCATAAATGGTAGTACCTCAAAAAGTTATAAAAATTTCCAAACACAATATACTAATACAATCGTCAAATAAATATTATCTAACTCTAACATTAAATTTTGATAATGACGAATGTGATTACACTTTAGATTTAGAAAGACATGTTTCTTTCCGTTTTCTTAGGCAAATACAATAATTTCTCTATGCCTACATCAATAATGATGGTAATGTAGACCGTACAGTTATAAGCAATTAACACGTAACAGATGGGCGGTATCATTGTATACTACTAGGTTTTTACGTAATTAACACGGTTAATAAAATAGTTCAATCTAGAAAACCAAACAGTAGAGCTTTTGCTATAACAGTATTTTGAAATAGATAGTGCCTCCAATATACATATATTTCTTTTTCAATTATATTTAAATATTCTCTATAATTAAGACACAGACATGTATTGTTCATCTATCAACATATATTTGGACAACACCACAAAACGTGTATAATCAAAATTTTGATTTGTGGCTTAATCAGTCGGAATAGATACTGCTTATGGCAACAAAAAAAAATCAGTCCACATTTTCTACTTTTTCTAACAGTACATCAATGACTAAATACATCCACACTCCCCAATGAATCTGTATTGTTCCCAAGAATCACAAATTGATCTTACTTTAGATCCTGAAAATAACAGAATTACTGTTTTTACTAGTATATTCGTGCAAGGATATTTAAGTAATTTACTTACATTTCTTCAAGATTCGAGTGGTCCTAAAGACATATCAAATTCTAAGTTTTCACAACCGTCAGACATCAATGATGATAGAAATTCGTTGGTTGGGTACTGTGACAAATTTTCTTGGTTCATTATTGTGTCAATATTGTCATTCTGAGGCGTAAGAATCCATAAATCTGTATACATTAGCCAGACATCTCCAGATGATACATTTACTATATCTGTGTTTGTAGAACTATAATAAAAAATAAATAGAATTTATAAAACTCCATTTCCGTTAATTATATAAGGGCACATTTATAACATCTACAACTAAAAACTTACAACTTCTACATAATGATCTTACTTATTTGATATTTCTGGGAGCTGAGATGCTGGACTTGATATAATTTCAGTCGTTTGTTCGATAACTGGTCTTCGAGGAATAAAAAATCTAGGCATGGCCTCCAGTCTTAAATATTTTTTTCCGTTAAAATAAATAAAATCCTCCTCGGCATAGTGCTTTGAACAAATAACGTTTTGCGGACTCAAACATTCATCTACACTTCTCCCAATGGCTTTTAGTCTATTAGCATACCTTTTTTTTCCAATTCTAAAATAGTTATAAATTCAACTATTATTCAGATACATACAAAACCAAAAGTCTTTATAACAAATATTTACTTATGAAAGGTAATTCCAGATTTTCCTAGCGTATTCTTACAAGTTGCAACTAAACAACTTTTTACCATTATAAACAATGTATATTTAAACTGCAATAAAATTTACAACTTAATTTAGGGTCAATGAACAATAGTCGATGTTAAAAGAACACAAGAAAGCCACTAATTTGTCACCGATACCATTTTTTAGTAACAATTAGACAAAAAAAACGAAAAATGTGAATATTGACGTTTACCAAAGGGTAAACAAACAGCTGACAAGTGACAAATGTCCACTGACAGTCACAATGACACTGGCCACTGACCCATAGACCATGGTCTGTGCCTTGCCCAAATCAGTGACTATAATTGACCTTATAAGTCATGAAATCAGAAATATAAAGTAGTAGAGTAGAGTAGCAGTAGAGTAGTACTCTATATCTCTGCATGAAATAAATAATAACCGCTACAGAGTAGGGAGGAAACAATTTTTCAAAAGTAACAGTAAAATCTACTGAGAAGTGTTTTCGATTTTCCACACTTAAAGTTGCAGTACCTTACAATACGGTCATAGAAGAATGGTTGCACATAATAATTCTTATATCTGTACGTTATATAATCCCCCCAGTAAATCAAAACTTTCACTTATGTCATCTATAATGAAAAAGGATATCTAAAATTTAATGTATCTTAGATAAATTACTCTTCATCAAGTTCTACAACGTTGTCCTAATTTAACCGAGTGATGCAGCTTTAAAAACGGGCATCCTGTACAGAACAAACTTATTTAAAACCAACTTAATGCTGCTAGGTCATATCCTTTATTATAAGATAGTAACTGGACAGGATCAAATGCTGCTTGCAATGCAATTGCAAATAAACAATTTGGCCTGAAATTTTAAAGCTGTAATAGCAGTCCATGTTCTAATACTTCTAATAAAGGTTATCGACAGTGTAGGCGTAGGCAAACCATTGTCAGTGCCATCTCGTGAGTGTTAAATTGTTGCTATTTTCTATTTTACCACTAGATGTCTTTGAATTTAAATTGCTACAGGCGAAACTAATAAAAACAAGATATTTTTAAGATTAAGAAAAAAATCTATTTTAGATCGCGCATCCTTACGTATACCATAACGTTCTGTGCCTGAATTAGTTTAAGTTTCTTTTTAGAAAAAGCAATGTCGAAACCATCTTATAAAGTAGGTATGTAGGTATTTATATACATTATTTTATTAATTTATTTTGAACGAGATATTTATTTATAATGTTCATGATACTTGCCCAATTTAATTTATCGGACAATGATCTTTAGATACACCGACAAGTGATAAAAAGGATTACTTTTATTCTGAAGTAAAACATTTTTTTGGTCGTATAGATAATTTATTTATAATTGATATTGTGTTATTATAAGTTCTGATTATTTGTGGGAAATGTAGTAGAGATTTTTTCAATTAAGTGAACTTTCCGATTTTGTTTTGGTTTTATTTCAAATAATAGGAAACCAATTTAACTTTCCGTTTTTTGAAAAAAAAAAACGATACGAATTTATTAACACATCGATGCCAACGATGACATTTATCTTAGCAAATCGTGGTCCATTACATGAACAGTTTGACCAAAAATTAATCAAACGAATCTTTATTGCACTAAATTTGATATTTATATACCATCACCATCACAAATAAATCTAACTGTTAAATCAAATGTAGCTAATCTGAATTTGGCTGAATGGGGTCGCAAAGAAATCACCTTGGCTGAAAATGAGATGCCGGGGTTGATGAGTCTGAGAAGAAGATACGGCAGCAGTAAAATTCTGAAGGGGGCTAGAATTTCTGGATGCTTGCATATGACGGTGATGACGGCGGTTATGATAGAAACACTTCTGGAATTGGGAGCTGAGGTAACAATAACATAAGTTTTATTAGTAAATAAAAGAATTAAATTGGATAATAGCCAGTTTCATTTTTAATAAACAACTGCTGGAAGTTAAAAATATTACTGGCCCAAGGCCAAGTATTTTTATATAATTTAACTGTTAATTGAGTAAATTATTGTTAATAATAAAGTTAGTTGAAATATTTATAGTGTGTCGTGAATGTATCTGATGAATAGGTAAAAAAATGTGTAAATTTCGTAAGATACAATCGAAAAAATATTTTACATAGATTTCTAAAAGTGATATTTATAGTGCCTCAAAATAATTAAAAAAAAATCACAAGGTTATTTGACATCACAAAAATGGTCAAATAAAATGGTTATATTTTGATGAATGAAACCATACCATACCGATTTCTGTGCTCAAATGGAGAACCACGAAAATATTTCGTACAAAATTTGTGAAATAAAATATAAAAACTGCTCAATAAAATTATTTTATAAATTTATGTAGTCAAAAATGATAGAATAGATACAAATGTGTTTTTTATTTTTACAAAATTAAATTTTCTTTCCACCTATATAATTTTTTAATTTGATGCTAAAATTCAAAATTTCAGGGCTCTAACTTTATAAAAAATTCAATTTTGGGATAAATGGATAACTACTGTTTGTATACAGGGTGATTCACAATATAGTAACCAAAAATGAAGCCTCGTATTTGGTTAATTTTAAAGGGTCTTTCCTATAATAAAGGTTTCATTTTTGGTCACCATTTGTGAATCACCCTGTATATTAGTTGATTTCAAAAAATTAATATTTGGTAAATATATGATACAGGGTGTTTCGAAAATAGTTGAGGAAAATGAAACAGTGGATTCTTCAGACGATTTTAGAGGTGGTGTTTTATATATAAAAAAAGCCTTCCCTAAGAAGTTAGGTTAGGGTTGGTTTCAAATTTCGTAAGGCTGCAATCCATAATCATTTGCTGGCGTTCGTCCTCATTATGCACACGGGCAGCTTATACTGCAATAGTTTTAATATGATAATATAGTTCTAAAAAATTAAGACATGTCTCACATTCAGTCTTCTAGGTAAAATAACGGGTCCGATTAGATTATTTATTATTTCCAACAAGCCCAACCCATACATTAATACTGAAATTGAATTGAAGTGAGTGCTTATATTATTGCGTGTGATGAGGATACTTATCTATCTATGTAAATTCTTCGCGTCCTGTACACATTACCCCTTGCTTCACCATAAATAAAATTCATTTCGGCATATTCGCGATTTAAGAATAGTTTTACCACAGACTAAATAGCTAAAACGATAAACTATATATTGTCTGTGGTTTTACAAATCCGGTGATATATTACTATTATAATTATAACACCAGCTAAACTTGTCATAAGCATGGTACAAAACAATTAAATAAACTGATGATAACGGTTGATATGTAAAATGAGTAAAATGACAGAAACCTGCTTCTACGATTAGTGAATCATAAGGTTGAGATGCAAACTTTTAAATTTTATTTTTTTGTACGAAAAGTAAAAGGTATTTCGGAATTTGTGTAGAGACAAAAAGTCTTGTTTTGAACAGGGCTATCCAAAACATTTTTTTTTTCTTAAAAATTTTTAAGTACGTAAAGATTATAATAATTAATAAACGTACAAGGGGTGTATTATTTCATCCCCTTACTGTGAGGTGACAACGAATGGAAAAGGTCAGGAAAGTGACATTTTAACACAACTGTATCCATGAAAAAATTGGAGTTTTTAATTTGAGCCGGTTGTGAAAAGTCCATGGAAGCTTGACTTCAACATCCTTTTTTAAAAGGCTGTAACTTCTTATGGAAGGCTAGAATATATATTTTTTTATATTGTATATTGTGTTACACGGAGTCTGATCTTTAGAAACATGTATAATAAGTTTGTTTTATTGTGATTTTTTAAAATCTTTTTCAAACTTTTCATATCACGTACTACAACTATCCATATACCAATATTAGTTAATATTTAATAAATCATGGAAAAAATATTAATTTTTTAAAAATACTTTAATATTTTTTTTAATATTCGGCTCTTCTTTCAACATATTGCAAATTTATTATTACTTTGATAAAAAAAATCAGTATTCTGGGGAACAGGTCCCACTTTAAGTTACACCCTGTTTGTGCAACCTTTTTCGAGATCACAGGGTAGAAAATTTCCAATTTTATTTTGCAAATTTCAAAATTTGTTTAATCGTGAAAGTTCTCTGTTGGGCCTAGAAACTCTTCCCCAAAAAATGATATGGGTCTCAAGCTTTATTATCAAATTTTACCATTTTTGTTTTCACGAGGTGCAATATTGGTCAAAATTAAAAAACATCTTGTATCTTTATAAAGTTATCGAAATTTTATTATAACTGCATAGTTTTTACAAGGTTTATATACCACGCCAGTGAATATATATACCAGTATATAACCGTGTATATACCAGCAGTGTATGTACCAGTATATACCAGAGTATACCAGTGTATATCAGTATATGTATACCAGTATATACCAGTGTATACAGGGCTGGAAAATCCACATGGTCCATCTGCCTTTACATGAGAGCGACAAAATAAAGAAATCTGTTTGATAGACAAGGATGGCTATAGTGAAGACGTTTCATAATCTGAATAGTCACCGCCCGTTTCGGGTTAGAAGTGGGAGTGACTATTCAGATTATGAAACGTCTTCAGTGTAACCATCCTCGTCTATCGCACTTATTTCTATGACTTACTTTATCGCTCTCACGTAACGGCCGATGTACCATGGGGACTTTCCAAATATGCCATTGATTATAACTTAGGAAAATATGAAATTCAAAATTAAAGCAACAAGTTTCCATTACTCCTTCTAGGTCCAATGGGCCAGTTGCAATATTTTCAGCACCCAGGACCATGCTGCAGCGGCTCTAGTGAAACGGGGGGTAGGAATTTACGCTTGGAAAGGAGAGACCGACGAAGAATATGTGTGGTGCATAGAACAAACCCTTATATTCCCTGACGGGAACACCTTCAACATGATTTTAGATGATGGCGGCGACCTCACCAATTTGGTACATAAAAAGTACCCTCAGTATTTAAGCGACTGTAGAGGAATCAGTGAGGAAACCACAACTGGTGTGCATAATCTTTACAAGTTGTTCAATCAAGGCATTCTACAAGTGCCAGCTATTATCGTCAATGATTCGGTTACAAAAGTGAGTAAATTGATTAACGATTTATATCGGTTTTTAATGTGAATTAAACTGTCATAATAGAAATTGCATTTGAATAATTTTTTTTTGCCAGAGTAAGTTTGATAACATCTATGGTTGCCGAGAATCACTAATTGACGGCATTAAGAGGGCTACAGATGTAATGCTTGCCGGGAAAGTGTGTGTAGTAGCTGGATATGGAGACGTTGGCAAAGGCTGTGCGCAATCTTTAAGTGCGCTTGGGGGCAGAGTCATCATCACCGAAATTGACCCCATCAATGCCCTACAAGCTGCTATGGAGGGCAAGTAGTTTTATGTTTAATTGGGTGTTCAATAGTGTTCATATTTTTTTTAATAATAACGTTAATAACTAGAGAAGTGGACACAAGAGTATCAATTACCCTGTAGTTCTGCAACCAGCATAACACAGCAGAGAAAATAATGTTGCCGTGGTTAAAAATTATATTTTCTATTTAAATTGTTATAAATACATATAGAAAAATTTTAATATCATACTTAATTCTCATTTCTCATTCTGAAGTGGATAGTTTTCAATATTGAACCCATATATTTAAGTAAATTCATTTTTCACCATAGACATATCACATATAGAAGGGACTGGCGATTGGATTGTGATGTGATCGCGATTTTGACAAATGTAAAAGTCAGTAAATTATATTAAACATTAAATTATTAGTATATCTATAACCGCTTACTTGAGAAATACAGTAACGTAATTTGGCATCCGCGAACGGCTTGCAATTAACATATAAGTATGCTAACTTCAACAGATACTTAGAACAATGTCAAAGACGTAAACGCGGAAACCGACAGCTACGCATGCGCAATTGTTATTTTAAGCTACGTTGATATACGTATACATTAACCCAACGTAATATGCCGAGTCAAACAATGTCGAAACCTTTATGGCAGTGTTGATTTGGCCGATCAACCAACAAATATGTTTGTATTTATGTAAACAATAAACATTTTTTTTATTTAAGTTTTGTGGTAGCATCCGCAAAGGGAATTCATTTTCTAAATAAGAATAATTTATATCTTTTAGATAATGTTAGACTACTGCTAAGTATTTTAGTCACGTGTTAACGTTTAAAAAGCAATGCTTTAAGTGGCTTTTTAAATAACTAATATTTTATTTATTCTTCAAAATGGCTGCCGCAATTGCTCAAAACTATTGTTTTAGGTTATGAAGTCACGACAATGGAAGAAGCCTCCAAGGAAGGTCAAATATTTGTCACCACAACAGGGAGTATAAACATCATTCTAGAAGACCACTTTCTTAATATGAAGAACGACAGTGTGGTATGCAACGTCGGGCAATTTGACAGCGAGATTGACGTGAATTGGCTAGAAAAACATGCAAAAGAAAAAGTCAACATAAAACCACAAGTTGACAGATATCTTTTATCCAATGGAAATCACATTATTATTCTTGCCGAAGGGCAACTGTGTAATCTAGGATGTGCTTCAGGTCATCCTGCTTTTGTGATGTCAAATTCCTTTACCAATCAAGTTTTGGCTCAGATAGAATTGTGGACAAAACCAAGACAGTATACTGTAGGCGTCCATAGGCTGCCTAAAAGCCTTGATGAAGAAGTGGCAAGGTTACATCTGGACCATCTTGGTGTTAAACTGACTAAATTGACTCCTGAACAAGCGCAGTATATGGGGGTGCCAATTGATGGTCCTTTTAAACCAGATCATTATAGATACTAGACAAACTCTGATAGTAAATGTAAATGGTATCTCGGTCGTATCAACATTTTGTGCGAATAAAAAATCATTTGAATAATAAAAATTTATATTTTATTATTTGATACTGTGTAGTGTGGTATCATAAAATGCATGAATCATTCATAAACAATGGCAATCTAACTTTTAAATAATTTTACATATATAGAGATATTTTTAAGGTGTAGATCGTAATCCTAGATAAAACCAATATCTAGGATCGTAATGTTCTCTGGATCCTGACGGCCTACAAACGTCAAAATTTGTGCGGAAGCACTAAGCATCAAGATTTCTAGACAATCAATGTTCTGTTATATTACCATACTATACTATGGTTATGGCAGCCAGGGAGACTAGACGAGAGGCAAGTACGGTATTGACATTTAGATGTTCTAGATATCTCTTTGTCTTTCCATCTAGATAGAATTAGAAAAAAACAAAACACTTCTGGAGCGTCTAGATGTTCATACCGAACTTGCCTAAGGAGCACGAACTCAAACGAGAAAATTAACAGAATAAATGAAATTACTTATAGTTTTTACCTCTAGGGTCGCTAGTGTTACTTTGGAATAATGGCGCGCGTTGTCCTACACCGACGTATTTTCATTATTTATTGATTTATTTATCGAGTTCAAAGCAGCTGTATCTCCACTCCACTATTTCGGTACATATGGGGACACTAGCGCCCTCTAATTTAGTAAGATATTTGTTTAGATGGAGTTCGTGCTTCTTGAGTAGTGTCTTTCCGTATGATTAAAATATCTATGGCCTCCATGATGGCAAATGACAACAATCAACAATGGAATTTTGACATTTCTCAAATCGTACGTCGCCTAACCTTAAAATTTTATAATTATATTAAATCAAAAATAAATAGAGTTGTGATAGTACAATTAACAATGTGATTTTTTATTATTCTTGTACAATATCGTTTATAATAATACTCAATATATATAGTTTAAGTTAAAATGGTTAGTTTAAATAAGTCATTTCTCTATGGAATTTGCTTTGCTTCACTAACATGGGTAATCTCATTATATTTATACTTTCAATTAACGAAAAATGATATTATATCTAATAAAATACCCACGCAACAGTCATGGGTGTATAAAAGTAATTTGATTGAACCGTTACAAAAATACTCCAAGAACAAACTCGCAATGAAAGTACCAAGTAATAATTATGCAAACAATTATAATCTCATTAAAAAACTGCAACCTGTCTTAGCAACTCCTGAAGGATCTGATAAAGTTGAAGAAGGTTAGAAGTAATATTACAGTTTCTGATTATAATGTTTGTATACCTATGTTTATTTCTTACAGAATTAGTACGCTTAGGAATGGTAAATAATATGGCAGATTTACAAATTAAAGAAGAAGGATATAAAATGTATGCATATAATGTACTGATTAGTAATAGATTAAGCTATAACCGTAGTATACCTGATACAAGGAACAAATTGTAAGTAAAGTTAACTTTTTATAACGATATTTGAGTCTTTATTTGCCTTTGTAGATGTCGAGATATTAAATATGATAACGATTTGCCAAATGCTAGCATTATAGTATGCTTTTATAATGAACATTTGAACACATTATTGCGAACAATTTATTCAATATTAAATAGAACTCCCAGTCATCTGCTAGAAGAGATATTACTAATAAATGATCAAAGCGATATACCTAATCTACACGAAGATGTGGATGAATATATCAAAAAGAACTCTCTAACCAAAGTACGGTTGTTTAAACCTGAAACAAGACAAGGTTTAATCAGGGCTAGAATATTTGGTGCTAGAAGAGCCCAAGGCAAGGTACGCATCAATTCCTGTTATTTTTATGGTATCTTCTATCTCATGAATCTTTAGGTTTTAATATTCTTGGATAGCCATGTAGAAGTAAATGTTGGTTGGATAGAGCCGCTACTAAGTCGAATAAAAGAGAAAGAATCAAATGTTGTGATGCCTATCATCGATATTATAAAAGCAGATACTTTTGTGTATTCCTCAAGTCCGTTAGTCAGAGGTGGTTTCAATTGGGGTTTACATTTTAAGTGGGAAAATTTACCGAAAGGTTGGTGGAATTTGTAATTAAAAAAATGGTTCTTAATATGAAATAAAAGTAGATTTTTTTTTCTTTAATTCTAATACTGTCTTAGCTACTTGTGGTGTACCTCAAGGATCCAACCTTGGGTTATTTGCTTTTATTTTATTTATTAATGATATATATCTAACACTAAAATATAATTTAATTTTAATTAAGTTTCCAGTTTATACGATTTATCCATTTGTTCTTTTAAAGGCATGTTTACACTAGGATTTCAGCTTTTTGGTGATGTTCACCATCTAATTCATGTTTGCATTTTGTTTGATTTATTCTATTGTTACTTGTTTTGTTATATATAATTTTGTTTAATTTTTTTTGTCCTCTAAGTGGAATATTTCTTCCGGGCATTACATTTGGATGATTATTTTAGGAACATTAGATAAGAAGGAAGATTTTGTGAAACCTATAAAATCCCCTACAATGGCAGGGGGCTTATTTGCGATAGACAGGGGCTATTTTATCGATACTGGGGAATATGACGCCGGTATGAATATATGGGGGGGCGAAAACTTAGAAATATCTTTTCGTGTAAGGGTATAACTATGCAAAACGTTACAGGGAGTTACTTAATCTCTATTTCAGATATGGATGTGTGGTGGATCAATCGAGATAATACCATGCAGTAGAGTTGGACACATTTTCAGATCAAGAAGGCCGTACGGTTCTCCCGACGGACAAAACACGATGCTCTACAACTCACTCAGAGTTGCCTACGTCTGGATGGACGATTACAAAGAACATTTCCTCAATCAAAACAAAGATGCTAAAGATGTAGATTTCGGTGATATTTCTTTAAGACTCCAGCTGCGTAAAGAACTAAAGTGCCACGATTTCGAATGGTACCTGAAAAATGTTTATCCCGAGCTAACCCTTCCCACTGACGATGAGGAACGTCTCAAGAAAAAGTGGTCCGCAATCGAACAAGACAAATATCAACCCTGGCATTCACGAAAACGTAATTATTTGGCTGAATATCAAATAAAACTCTCCGATACGGATCTCTGTGTTCAGAGTATGAAAGATGTGAAGATAAAGGGTAGCAAGTTGGCACTGAGGCCTTGTAAGAAAACCAAAAGGCAACTTTGGTATGAAAGTGATAAAAACGAGCTCGTGTTGGCACAACTGCTATGTTTGCAGGCTGGAAAATCAGCTCCGATTGTGTATAAATGCCATGAAATGGGAGGGGATCAGGAGTGGAGACACAAAGGAGGGGTATGTTTAAATTTCACTTTATTTTCTTAGAATGTAACATTTTTTTTTTTTTTGCAGAAGAAATCTCCAATATATAACATTGCGGCTGGCACATGTCTAGGCGTTAATAAAAAAGTGGTCAATGCAACTCTAGCAATGAAGTTGTGCAATGATCCAGAACCCAGTTACTTAAACTGGGATTTAGTTGCGTATTAGAAAATAGGATATTTTTAGATCTGAATATTTTAAGACTGAACAATGAATTTAGCATGACAATTTGAACAAATTCTGTTAAAAATTATATAATTTTCTCATTGAAATAAAGTTATTTTTGTAATTTTTATAAGATGTTTTTGATATATTGCAGGTTTGACAAAATATGATTTTTAAAAAAATTAGCAGCATAATTGATATGCTTTGGTCGTTGTAAGCTGATAGAAATGTACATACGTTGTAAAAATATATTATCACTGGACAAATTGTATCAGTAACTTTTAATTAATTATATGGGTGTATAATTTTGTTGCTACTAAGAAAATGTGGTAATTTTGGTTAATGTAACACATTCCTTTCCATAATAAAAAAAAATAAATATTTTTTACCTTATTTTAATTATTCATTGCTACATGGAATACAAGCAGGATAAATAGGTACCTTATTTGTAGGTATCATTAATCACAACAGGCGAATATTACTACTTTGTTAAAACTTTATTTTGAATATTAAAAAAAAATCAGAAATTTCCAGTCGGATCATTAAAATAACTATTTAAATGTGATGTTACATCTACATCTATAGATTTATGCATAGTTTGTTCGTAATTTCGTAAATTGAATAATCCATCCATCGTTATTCAAAATTGGAAGCTTATACCAGGAACCAGTTCTGAAAAATATTTTGGTACAATTAAATACACCTTGTATATTTTTGTGGTCAATTCTATTGTAGAATTTGAATTTCCTTCACTTAGATTAGGTAGGTCAGTTACAATCTAGAGATGTGTAGTTTATAAACAAACCAAGTAGTTCAAATGAACTTCCTCGTCTTAATGCGATGAATTCCATCGATGTATTACGATTGGTCTGTTTAAAAAAATCTAATCTCTTATTGGCTCTACGGAATCCATCACATCGAAATGATGAATAAAAGAACACGGCAGTATATACTATACTTCGAGCATATACTACTGGGGCTTGATTTTTGAAAACAGAGAATTAGTTCATTAGAGAAAATTACGTCATTTTCTCTTGACACGCAGATAATGTGATTTTTGAAATTTTCATGTGGAATATTTTCTCTAGATATCAAGAGAAATAATTCCACAGGGTTTTGTCGGGGGAATTGGCGATTTCTCCGAATAGTTTGAATCTAAATGTCATCTCATNATGGAATACAAGCAGGATAAATAGGTACCTTATTTGTAGGTATCATTAATCACAACAGGCGAATATTACTACTTTGTTAAAACTTTATTTTGAATATTAAAAAAAAGTCAGAAATTTCCAGTCGGATCATTAAAATAACTATTTAAATGTGATGTTACATCTACATCTATAGATTTATGCATAGTTTGTTCGTAATTTCGTAAATTGAATAATCCATCCATCGTTATTCAAAATTGGAAGCTTATACCAGGAACCAGTTCTGAAAAATATTTTGGTACAATTAAATACACCTTGTACATTTTTGTGGTCAATTCTATTGTAGAATTTGAATTTCCTTCACTTAGATTAGGTAGGTCAGTTACAATCTAGGGATGTGTAGTTTATAAACAAACCAAGTAGTTCAAACGAACTTCCTAGTTTTAATGCGATGAATTCCATCGATGTATTACGATTGGTCTGTTTAAAAAAATCTAAACTCTTATTGGCTCTACGGAATCCATCACATCGAAATGATGAATAAAAGAACACGCAGTGTTGCCAGATGGAAATTTCTGTCAACAGTAGGAATGTAGCCAAAAAAACAGATTTCTTTTTTCAACAGGAGATTTTAATAAATATATTTTTTAATAGAGGAACACAAGTACATGCACAAAATATATAAATGAAGGAGTTGGTTTAATAGTTTTCAACTACATCGCTACGTCACGTGATTTGACAACTGTCAGTTGTCAAAATGATAAATCCCAGAATCCCGCTGAAGTAAACGAACTCGCCTTCTATTCTGTTATAATAGGCCTAGTTCATATAAACACGAATTGCGGATTTAAAATTTAAATATGTACATGAACTGGGCTACAGAAAATATAACAGGACTGTGAAAATATTGACAGTGTCGTACTAAAATATTCTTATTCAGGGGAAAATTAGTATAATCAACAGAAGGTTTCATAGAGAAACCAGAAGAATAGACATTTAAACTAAAAACAGGAGATCTCATAGTGAAAACAGTAGAACAGGAGAGTGAGAGTGAAAACAGGAGATCTCCTGTTAAAACAGGAGATCTGGTAACACTGACTGAACACGGCCGTATATACTATACTTCGAGCATATACTACTCAGGGCCCGAGAACTTATACTTGAAAATATGGGGAAACTGGGAACCACGTGACTTGAGATGGATATACAAGTTGGAGAAAGAGTCTATAGATGTCGCCACAAAGGTTTTGTAGAATACCAATTTTGACAATTGCAATTATGAATCATTTCATGTAATTTATGTTGTTCATGTTTATTGTTGGTTAGGTTTGGCGAGTGTTGGTGTGTTTTATTTGTTTTTAGTATAAAAAAAAATATTGTGTGTTTTATTAGACATTTCATTCACTGTATAACATAATAATGTCTGATCATATAATCACATTTTTTTATTAATAATAAAAAAATTTAAAGTTGCATAATAAATCTATATTACAAGAATATTATTCAGATTGGTTTAGTAAAATTATTTACTTGTAATATTTTTTTATTCACTGTGAAAGCTAATACAATATAGAAGGCACTGAAAGCTGCTCAATAATCATTTCCACTCTTTTTTTTTCAAAATATGTACTGAAATTTGAAATTTTTTCAATAAACATTTCAAAAAGTTAGTATCAAAATTATTTCTTATTTTAAGTAGGAAGGCTATTAGAGCTTTTAAAAGTGTCTTTAATGCTTGAGTGATTTTAATGCTTTTTATCAAATGTACTTATTTTCTCATGGTGACAAAAATTATCTACGTGAAAATTATTTTACAAAACCAATTTCTGAGTGATCTGTGTAGGGTGAGATTTGTTATGTAATTTTAAATTTAGCGGCGGCAGAATACCTAAAACAAATATTGGGTAGGTATATAGTTGTAGAGCGTACAACTAGATGGCGCTTGCATCTTTTACCGGCTACAGGTAATTTAACTCACTGTATTACCGATAATTCCTAGAAAAGGAAAGCAATAGAAGTTGGAGAAAGTGTCAACAGTTAGCGCTGTTAATGACCACGAAATCTGTTCAAGTTTCCTATCTATAGTATCATTTATCTAGGATCATAAAGAACACCTAACCTAAAATTCTATCCCCTTCCTACTGACCACAGACTATAATTTCTGACATAGATAGTTTCTGACGTCTCGTCTCGCGAATGCAGCTAAGAGCTCGCCCTCTGGCGGTGACACGTGATACTAGCGAAACAAGGTAAACATTTCTTCTGTGTGTGACATTTCGTTTTGTATTTTATTTAAAACTGTGTTTAGTGTTCGTTTTTTGAACACTGTTATTTTAAAATTAAGAATATAGTGTGAGGAAAACTTCAGCAATTATGGATAGAAAGAACAAACTGTCAAACTATTATTGTTCAGTTCAAGGTTGCTCTTCATGGTCTAAGAAAAATCCAGAATTAAGTTTTCATCAAACCATTGAAGAAATTTTCAAAATATTATTGCCGATAGATAATACTCCNAGATGGAAATTTCTGTCAACAGTAGGAATGTAGCCAAAAAAACAGGAGATTTCTTTTTTCAACAGGAGATTTTAATAAATATATTTTTTAATAGAGGAACACAAGTACATGCACAAAATATAGCAAAATTTATAAATGTAGGAGTTCGTTTAATAGTTTTCAATTACATCGGTAAGTCACGTGATTTGACAACTGTCAGTTGTCAAAATGATAAATCCCGGAATCCCGCTGAAGTAAACGAACTCGCCTTCTATTCTGTTAGGCCCAGTTCATATAATCGCGAATTTTATTTAAAATTTAAATATGTACATGAACTGGGCTACAGAAAATATAACAGGACTGAAAATATTGACAAGTGACGAACACAGTGCCGTTAGAGGACAGTGTCGTACTAAAATATTCTTATTCTGGGCAAAATTAGTATAATCAACAGAAGATTTCATAGAGAAACCAGAAGAATAGACATTGAAACTAAAAACAGGAGATCTCATAGTGAAAACAGTAGAACAGGAGAGTGAGAGTGAAAACAGGAGATCTGGTAACACTGTTTTTTTGTAATGATGGTAGGAGTGGCTTAAAATACATTACGCTAGCGTCATTGCGTTCTAAGGTCACTAAAAGCAAAGGTTCGGAAATTACGGGCATATCCATGGGCATACCCCTTGATAATACAAGCTCCATATGTCTCCGTCCAGGGATGTATTCCGGATATGCAAAAGATGACGCTGCGGTGTCTCTAGTCTCTATATTTAGAGTCGGTGAATTGAGAGAGTACCGCCAACAGTGTTCCCATAAGTTAGATAATGGCCCGAATATTGCGTAAGTTGACAAATTAGAATTGAATACAGTTTAATATGGTTATATATGGTTGCATAGTTTGTGACAGTAATCGGACGCAAGATCTAACCGGTAGTATCTAACTATATGTAATCAAACATACATTTGGACCGAACATGGCGGTAGTCTCACAATTCAGTGACTGTATCTATATTAATGTAATTATAGATTTATTATTACTACTTTTATAACAGCTTTGATTAGTCTTTAACCCTTGGTCAAAAACTATACCTGAATATGGAATAGGTATGGAATAGTATTTTATTCTTGTCATGCGAAGTTGGTGTTTTACTAATTAAAATGGTATATTACCTCCTTATCAGCGTCATACATGCAGGCGTTGAAATGTGAAGATTTTTCGCAAAGATTAGCACCCTCTGAAAAAATTAAGTACGGTATGTCTAGTTTTTCGTGTTAACGTCTCCTTAAATACAAGTAGACTGGCACAATCAAGCTGAAATATTTTTTTAGAGGAGGGACATTACTACGAACGCCTGGCCCTCCGATTTTTATACTTACTGAAATTTTTCAGAAGTACATAGTGGGAATCTTTTTGTAGAAAAAAATAATACCATATTATTATTTTATATCCTTAAAACAGTTTAGTATAAAATTTTAGTAAAATTAGTTATTTTTCTTCACACTGATAAACTTAAAAAAAAAGCTACGTAGAATATTTTAGATGCTATGATATAAAAAACGGAACTCCGTAGAACTTTTATACCCCCTTAAAATAGTTGTGTATCAAATTTGAAGAAATAAATATTTATTTGTTATTACTTGAAAATCTCATTAATAAAAAAACTAACATATTATTACTTTTTTAATTATTTGGTAGTTCTCATATTTAATTTTTTATCAGTACCTACAACACCTTTCAGACATCATCGAATTAAATTCCTTTTCATATTAGCATATTGCTCCAATCAGCTGTTTATGATTTTATGACAAATGATTTCTTATGCTCAGTATACAACAGTCCAAAAATCATTTTTTTTTTGTCGGCGCTTAAATATATAACCCAGTAATATTTTGATGGGCACAAACCATAATAGCATTAACTTTTCGATTATAAAATCCCTAAAACATAGTTTCGCTTCCGTCTGTCTACTTGTCTTGAAGAGGGTGTTAACACAAAAAACAAGACGCATTGTAAGTACGTAAGATAGAATTTTCTTATGACAAAAATTATAAACCATCTATAAATATTCATACCATTTATATTTTTGCATTTCCTAAGGGCGGCGAGTACGATGTCCTTAACGCCTTCATGAATGTTTTCTTCGATCCAATCATATTGTATAACACCATCTTTGTCCATCTAACAGTAAAGAATATCATTTTATGTAATTATCAGAAAGGCGGACAATTTGTGACTTTAACCTTGAACATAGATATGTCATTCATAAACCTAGATACATTACCCATGACGCAGTGGCGTGTCGGGTATGCATCGGAAATTTACGTGATAATTCACGAAAATTCCACGGTACATACATTTTTAGGCGTTATAAAATATTTAGAAAATCAGAAATTGTATACTACATATTTATTAAATAAAGTTCGGTTAAAAATAGTGTCGTTCTTTTAATTGGAAATTAGGAGTCAATGTAACGAATAGCCTCAGGCGACGCACATGATAGAATAGTCCAACTCACGCTCCATTCATAACAGGGCTGCAGTTTGAATTCTGACCAATAGGAATTCGATAAACGCAACCGATGTCGACGGATGGACTAGAGATGGGCGCGAGTGTCATTTCATTTCTTTAGAACTAAATTAACTTAATTATTTTCTCGTTATTTAACCTGTTCACATGATTTATGGATTTTAAATAAAGGGTACAAATCTTCGCGAGGATAATACGATATATTTGCTATACATAATAATTATATTTTGCATAGTTTATACACAATACATTTTTGAACGGTACACATCTCTACCAAAATTTGACCTATTCTTCGGGTTAAAGTCACACATTGTCCGCTCTCTAGTAATTATGTATATTCACAGAATAATAATATCGAAAATAAAATTTGAGGCAAATATTCATAACAAGTTTTAAAAAAATGCAAAATATTGTGGAACATATAGCTAAGGTGTACGTTCCAAAGTTAACAGGACTTTTAAAAAAAATATTTCCCTTCCCAGTGAATTCAGCGATTTGCGCGGTCTAAAATCATATCGAATGAATGTTTTAGATCATCGACCGGGATGTTGTTCAGGATGTCGATACAAGTTTTTTGCATGGCTTCTAAATCCATAAAATGCTCCTTTCATCGGCAAATGCATTTCTTCGAAAAGTCGCATGGTGCCAAATCAGGCGAATACAGCGAGTGGTTGACAGTTAAAATACGACTTTCAGACCAGGCAAGTTAGATAATAAATCAGCAATTCTTTTCTGATGAACCGATCGAGTTGCGGTTTTCGACATTGTCTTCGGAAAAATATCAGGAAAAAAGTCTATATATTACACTTTGGGGCTGGATCGAAACTGCATTGCATAAAGTGCATCTTGGAGTGCATCAATTTTTCCGAATTTTCTAAAAATGGTAAAAATTGACTAGAAGTTGTAGAAATTATGTTTTCGGGGTCGGAGATTCCGAATCTGACCCTGAAAAATATGCCCGAAGGCCCTGGGGCTCTCCAGTGGGGCAAGGGGGAGCCTTCTGTAAAACATCGAGTAGCTGAGTAATTGCCTTCTAAATCCCCACTCGGGGGTTTTTGGGGTCAGGGATTTCGATTCTGACAGTGAAACGTATGTCCAACGCCCCTGGGGCCCCCCAGGGGGCAAGGGGGGCCTTCTGTAAAACACCGAATAGCTGAGTAATTGCCTTCTAAATTTCCACTCGGGGGTTTTTG